GACACTCAATGCTGTTAATTACGTCACTGCAGTTGCTCGATTAAAACCTATCGATGGATGCCGGCTATGGCAGTGAACCAACCGGCATGTTTGTGATAAATTCATGTCATACTAAGTGCATTTTCCAAAAATAAATAAATGAAAATAACTTTTTTCTTTAGAAGTTTTGTGATACATTGTCTATATTATTATTATTTTTATTTTTATTTTAACATTTTCACACCGTTGTCTTGTGCCTGTTGTCCTTTCAACAAGCTGCACATATAGAACAGATGTATTTTGAGGAAAACACATCTCGACACTACAAAATAGCCGACAGAAATCTGTGCCACAAATCCTTAATTGTCTCTCTCGTCCAGCTGCCATTCCCCTTCGACGCGATGCATGATGGTACATATTGTTTGGTGAGTGACCACTGGCTGTACACTCATATTCACGGTGGATTGTGGGATACTTTAACGGCACCATACAGGGTTTAATAATTGTAGCTTAATATTTGGACTGCGCTACAAACTGGCGAACACACTATATAGTGCACTGTGTAGTGTGTAGTAACTGGTTTCAGACACAGCTATGGTCAAGACGACCTGCTGAAGGTCAACTGAGCAGCAGAATGAGGAAGAAAAGGTCATTTCAGTGATTTTGAATGTGGCAGCATGTTGGTGCCAGACAGGCCGGTCTAAACTATTTCTGTTGGGATTTTGGGACTGAAGAAGAGAAACTATCCAGTGAGCAGCAGCTGATGTCAGAGGTCGCCTGGCCAGACTGGTTTGAGATGATAGAAAGGCAGCAGTAACTCAAATACCCCTTCGTTATAAACCAGTAATGCAGAAGACCATCTCTGAATGTAAAAAAGGCCAAACCTTGAAGCAAATGAGCTGCAGTCTGGATTTCTGCTGCAACAGTCAGATCATCAGAATTCGGCACAAACAATATGAAAGCATGGATCCATCCTGCCTTGTATTCAGGCTGATGCTTGTAGTTTTATGGTGTGGGAGATATTTTCTTGGCACACTTTTGGCCCCTTCGTACCAACTGAGCATCCTTTAAACACCTCAGCCTACCTGAGTATTGATGCTGACCATATCCATCCCTCCATGAACACAGTGTGCCATCTTGTAATGCTACCTCCAGCAGGATCACCTGCCATGTCACACACCTCAAATCAACTCAAACTGGTTTCTTGAACATGACAGTGAGTTCACGTTGGTCCAGTGGCCTCCACAGTCACCAGACCTCAATCCATTAGAGCAGGTTTGGGATGTGGTGGAACGGGAGATTCGCATCGTGGATTTACAAATCTGCAGCAACTGCATGATGCTATCTAGAGATACGCCGATTAAGATTGATAAGTGAGCTACTTCAGGTCTGATGAATCCACCTCTCTCTGTCTGTCATCACTCTGTGATCTCAGAAATGTCTCTCAAACAGAGAATACAAAAACTGAACATGAAACACAAGCCGTTACCACGAACCAGGAAATTAGCTTTGCTAAATTATCAGCCACAGATTACCTTGAAGCAGTCTGGATAATTAATATTGCTTTGAGATATGGACCTTAGTGGGCAATAAAAGCGATAGAACAGTGAAAGATTAATAAGCAGAGGGGAGCAGTCGACTAATTGTAGGAGACAAACTGATCAATCTCAGTCGATCCCACATAAACAAAGTAGAGCCTCCTGATTTCATCGCTCTTGTTTTTATTTTACATATTCAGTTACGCTTATTAATGAAGACGCTAGTGATGAATGACAGGTTCTCTGCTATTACATGATGTCAAAACACTGCATGTCGTCTACATTGGTTCCAAACATCAGCCTTTCTTAAATTCCAATAATCGGCATCAAAAAAAATAAATAAATAGACACCATATCAGTCGATCCCTAATGCCATCATTCCAACATGAACCAAAATCTCTGAGGAATGTTTCCAGTACGTTGATGAATCAATGCCAGGAAGAACTTTGGCAGTGCTTAAGGAAAAACGAGGTCCAACCTGGTAGCAAAGTATAAAACTAGTAAAGTACATCTAATGAAGTGGCCAGTGAGTGTATTCAACTGTTTGTGTTTGTGTGTGCTATGCTGGTCCTTTACCGATGACGAGGATGACTTTGGGTCGTGGCCTGGACGGGTCGAACACCTCGTACTCCTCTATGAGCTCCGCCGTCTCCGACAGGTCTGAGTCGCTCTCGATGGAGAACTGGCTGATGGGAGGCAGGCGGTCGTACCGTCTGTAGGGAAAGTTGGGGCTGTCGGGCAAAACTGTCGCACAAACACGCAAAAACACACACATGTAGAAGTTATGACTGAGCAGAACACGTCAGCATTTGTTTAATTCATGAATAACATTTTGTTGCTAAAAGCTGAAGTTCACGATTGAATTTTCCTTGAAATATAGTAAAATTATTAATGCTCTCAGTTTTTTTCTGCTAAATTCTGCTCTGTCAACCACTTCATGGGTCGCTGTCATGCTATTTCCAACTGAAGATCCCATTTCAGGACAAAAAAAACAAAAACAAAGCCACGTCTGTTTAAACAACAAAACAGCAAATTAGAGGTGAAGTTGTTTGAGTGATGAATTCAGAGTAGCTTCATTCATTTTGCTAATTATCCTGCTGCCTCTGGTGATAAAAGCATTGATTATACAGCTTTAACCACAATAACAGTGACTGAAGATAGAACTCATCACTCTGAACTATTCCAAGGGAAATGAAAGCTGCTATAATTCATCTGCATAGTCAGTATTATCACTTTACTCGACATGTACTTGCTGGATATGAAGAGAACGGAGGCAGTTTAGCAAAACACACAAATGGTTCTTGTTGAGATTAAAACAATTGAGCAAAACTAACAGAAGGTTGAAAATGACTAATAATGCATCCTCACCCAACTGAATCTAAAGACTTACACATAAATCAGACCAAAGTTATATCAATTTAGGAATCAAGGACAGGATTTCTTCCCTGTATTTTTTAAAACGTGACATATTTGAGAATTCAGAAATCAAAACTGATTATCATGAAAAAAGCACTATATTATTAGAAGAGGAAGAAAAGGCTGAAGTCCTGAAAGCAGGAGTCCGTCCGAAAACCTTCTTAACCCTTTGAACCTCCAAACCCACCAGTAAGTTTACGAGACACGTTTTAAAAATTTGCCAAAATTACACCATTTAGCAGAGCCAGGAACTGTACAAACTGAAATCACTGGATTTTCAGCGTTCCTGCCCGTCCTCAAGCTCCTCCTCTGTGATGTGTGGTTCATCAAGAAACCTTATAAAAAATTAAGTCTAAAATTGTTGCATTTCATTAAAATTACTTTATTCTATATGCCTCATATAAAAAATTGTCAAAAGTTTTTTGTAGTAACTAGATTCTGCGAAGATAAAGACTTCTATGCCATTCGTGACTCTGCTGCAGAAACACATGGCAAAAATTCAAGGACTTTCTTTCTGAACTGCAGGCTTTGATTACATAGGAGGCAAGTATGGAAACAACATCCATCCATCCATTATCTATACACCGCTTAATCCTCACTAGGGTCGTGGGGGGCTGGAGTCTATCCCAGCTGACTTAGGGTGAAGGCAGGGGACACCCTGGACAGGTCACCAGTCTATCACAGGGCTACACTTAGAGACAGACAACCAAGCACACTCACATTCACACCTACGGACAATTTAGAATCACCAATTAACCTCAACATGTTTTTGGACTGTAGGAGGAAGCCGGAGAACCCGGAGAGAACCCACGCTGCACGGGGAGAACATGCAAACTCCATGCAGAAAGATTCCAGTGGCCCCACCGGGACGCGAACCGGCGACCTTCGTGCTGTGAGGCAACAGTGCTACCAACTGCGCCACTGGAAACAACTTAATAATGGAAATATGTATGTAGAGGAACCATTTTTCCAGTTTTGACAACGTGTGAGCTCTTGGAAAATGTTGCACACGTTGATTCCAATTTTTTTTTTTTCCGAACTGAATTTTTTAAACTAGATAATCAAAGAAATTAAACTCACTCTTTCATTGTAATTTATGGCATCGTAAGTTTGTCATACTGCACAAAAGACATTGTTAAGTTCTCTCTACTTCTAGTCATGGCTGTGTTGTTTCCATAGACGTGCAGGACTTCATATTGCAATGAGAAATGAGCCCACAGTGAGTAAGAATGTGACAGGAGCAGAAAAACGCTCAGAAACTGTTCGGAGTTCAGAAGGTTCAGTCATCTTTCTGCATGTGACATCAGTGCGGTTTCATGGCTCACACATTAATCTGTTGTATTTTCATGGTCAGTTACTGTGTAAGCTGCTGCCATGCTCCTCACGCGACATCAGACAAAGAAGTATGTGTCTGCGATGCTCACAAACAAACACAAATGGAAATTTTTTTTGTCATCGCTGTGTCTGCCAGAGCTTAAGTAAACTTTGTTTTGCAAATTTTAACTAAATTTTGCATCCACACCACTTCCTGTGTCAGTTAGACATGCCGGGAGCAGCGGCTGGAATCAATAACTGATGAATGTTGGGGCTTTTTGGTGTCCCCGCTCAGATGAATAATTAACCAGACATGCTCACCGGTGAACAGGTCAGTGAAGGCAGCGCAGGCGAAACTGTGATCTGAATGCAGGATTCTGTTTTTGAACTGCAGGTTTTGCATGAAAATCTGTGGCCAGTTTTTCGGACATAGTGTGTTTGCAGGAGCTCTGTTGTCTCCGGAACTTTTTTGTTTTTAGGACCAAAATCTGTGAGAGCAGAAAAGCATCCAATCACAGTGCACTCAAACAGTTCTCCTACCCGAAAGAGTAGCGCAACAGTTTGAACAATTTATCTACAACGGGCCTCCTGAGGGTTCAAGACAAACACCAACACCCTTTTCCTGTTCAAACGCTGAGCCGGTTCTGTCCTGAAGTCTGTGAGAAAGAGATGTGCGCTGCTGCCAGCTTCCTTATAAAGAGGGTAAGTGCCAAAAATATTTATGCTGGCAGCCATTTCTTTGCACCAAGAACATGAGCCAGAAATAAAATCGGATAAACACAGTGCCAGAGTGTGGAATTAGATGGGATTTAGAACGCGATAAAGTGTCGTAGCCCATATATTTGTCTTCTCGTGACCATTTAGATTCAAACTCCAGCAAGACAACTTCATTTGAGTTCAGCTAATTTGTGCCTTTTTTTCTGCTTTCTGTCGATCAACAAATCAATGAAGCCACTAATTAGCTCAGCTGTAATGTGTTTTACTCCATCCTCACCGTTTCTGAAGAGGGACCTGCGTGACTGGCCTCCGTTCAGGGGGGGAAGGGACTTCTTCTCCTGCCCTACAAAGGTGTCCCACCGCACCTTTTCCGGTCCACCGAGCTCCTTGACTTTCTTCAGACAGCCCTCCAAGTACTCGATGGGGTCATCGGGCCGGTAGTACATCAAACCTGTCAGCAGGCTCTAGAGAAAACAATGGAGGACGTGATGAGGTGCTCAGGTCAACAGGAGTGTATGAGGCGATGTTTGCTCTGGCGGCGGCGCTGCATCTTTGTTAGATGTTCTGTGACAGCGTGACGGGCAATGAGCAGCACGGACGTTTTTAAAGTAAGGATCTGCTGGTTGCCTGAGCTGGAGCTCCACCAGGGGAACCTTCTCATTTTGCTCATGAAATTGAAACACTTCAATGCAGCTGCTGTTAACATCGAGGAGAAACGAGCGACTTCAGGCAAAAACGGGGGTCAAGTGTGTGTTTCTGTGACATTTGTTGGGAGTTTTTCTAAACAGGACCATCCTCTTGGACTTCCTGGTGCACCTCCACCCTCTTTTCTAACATCTCCCATCGCCTGCAGCCTGAAAACACACCGTAAAGTCTCAGAAACAAGACCTGCTTATTCACTTAGACCAAACTCACTCTTCTGATGATGTGCCACTACGCTGCTCGATGTAATTTGAAGCGACTGTAAATAAACAGCAGTGATTGCTTGCATACATTAGCTGCGCTAATTAAGTGGATGAGCCAGTTTACTATCCCCACAGGAAAATAAACATGATATTTGCTTATTACATTCCCGTAAGCTCTGACATGTGTGTATAGAAATAAGGTGATGATGACTTATTTGCACTTTATGGCATTTATTTACCCTCTATGATAGTCTATCACTTTGATAATTACATAATGTCCTTCTAGAAACTTCCTTAATAGTTAATTTTAGATGCACTCTCAGAGTTTCTGTGTCTACAATCAATTCATCACTAATAATTCTTCAGTTGAGTGTCACCAAAATGCATTAAAATGCTTTTTCATGCTAATTAAAGAATGCAGTGTCACCTGAAAACATCCTGTACTCCACAGATAAGAAATGTGGGAGGTTGTCTGTTTGCTTTAATTATGATCCCACACTATCAAAAAAAAAGCGCACTCTAAGGTAGCAGCTTATGAAACTGTGGATCAGCTGTGTTGTTTTCTCGTTTAAACCACTGTTCAATCATCTCAGCGCTTGACAGTCGCACCTCCATCAACCACTAGATGACAAACACCAGAGTGAACGGATCTTTACCGTGACTCTGTCATGCATCATGCACATCACAACACCCTCGAAAATGAATCTCTGTGTTTAAGAAAAAAAAGGACTACAGATAGTGTCATATCTGCACGCGCTGTACCCGGGTGATCTCCTCCCCACGAAGCGCGCAACATCTCTCACCTCAAATAGTTGAGGTATCTCCCGCCGTGCGAGATACTCCTTGGCATCGTTGGTATTCATCTCCAGTCCTTTTGAAATCTCAACTTGTCCGAAGCGTTTCTTTTGCTTTTTCTTCTCTCGTGTTGTGTTTAGGTGTCTCAGTGCCGGAAGGTAATCTTTGGTTATTAACCGAGCTCCTCACGGATCTTCCCTCTTTAACGCATTTTTGCCTCCCGTGTGGACTTTACAACTGGATTCCTGCAGGCGATGCCACCACGCCGCCCTCCTCGGTGATGCGGATGCGCGACTCTTCCCTCCTACAGCGCTCTGCTTCCAGCACCGTGTGTATCTAGTCTATGTTTGTGTGTGTGTGTGTGTGTTGACGTTGGCACAGAGGTTGCGCGCTCTGAAGTGCCAAATTACGCACGCACCGCCTCTACGTGGCGTTTTTCACTGGTTCAAGCACTGAAACTTGGGCTTGATGTTGGATTAATTGGGGGAAAAAAACTGAAGCAGGGCTGGAAAGTGTATAAGCACATTGCTCAAGTGAAGTATTTTCATTTTATGATTCTTTGTACTGCACTTTTATTAAAATTGTATGTAAAAGATGTTCAGTTTGTGGGATATGATCCAATAATAATGAACACTTTTACTGTGGATGGATTCTGTATGTTTTGTTGCTCAGGTTATTTCAATCAGTGTTTGAATTCAGGATTTAATGGAGTATTATTAACCCCTAAAAGTATTACTTTAACTTAAAAAAAGGACCAGAGCATTTTAAGTTAACTTGACCCTGTTGTCGAGGCAAACACTAAACTAAGAAGGATATTAAAATCCATCTATATTTGTTGATTAAACTCCTAAAAATTCCCCTCTCTGTATCAACTTTACACAATAAAAGTCTTTTTTTCCATCACAGTAATCCCATCCTGCATTAAAATAGCTCAGATGTAACTCCACTGATTCTTTTAGAATGGGCAGATCTAAGAAATCTTCGCTGCTTTCTCACTTGCTGCAGCTCGAGCACACCAGCTCACCTACAACTTTTATTGACTCTGCTTCCAAATGGCAACAGACGGTTCTATTTCAGTAGCATGCTAGAGCACTAATTCTTACATTAAGAACAGGACTTCTTGTGTTTTCTCTAGCTGAAAATACTTAGTAAAGTCCCTTCCTCTACCTACACAACTCCTCTACTGCTTGCTGCACCTGGAGCACACCAGCTCACCCATGACTCCGCTCAGACACAGTAAAACTACTATGCACTACAATCGTAATATCAGAGTAATTCAGGAATGGAAAAATAATGAATAATGACACCGAAAGCCTGCAAGTTGACATGATAAATAGTCTGCACTCATATAGCACCTTTCTACCTTAGTGGTACTGAAACAGTGTTTAATCATTCACCCATTCACACACATTCATACTCCAATCATGCACTTGCCTGCGATTGGGAGCAACTTCAGTGTCTTGCCAAGGACCCTTCAACTGTGGAGGAGCGGGGGATCGAACCACCAACCTTGCCATCAGAGGACAACCACTCTACCACCTGAGCCACTGCCACCTATGATTGGTCCATCAGATTTGTGACATATGAAACCCTGACAGTCCAATTCCATATTTTTGAAATTGTCATTGGTACACTGCATTTTCAATGCGAAGATGCTCTTCTATGCTTATTTCACTCATGATGTGTCTTCTAGCCTATAAAAAAAATCACCATAAGGACAATATTAATAAAGTAAAAACTCGATTTTTACCAGAGGAGCTCTTTAACCTGGTATAAACCTAAAGAAAAGTAGTTACTTTTGGTTTTCTTTACATCTTCCTTTACACATGCAGAGTTGCACCTAATTCACATTTACAATTCATGTTACATTCAAGCTCTGATTTGAGCTGATTTAAATCACTTAAGCACAATAAAAGTTCATAACATTTGACTGACTGGATCACAGACTTGGAAAAAAAAAAAAACTACAACAACTAAAGCGTCGGGTGCAGCTAAATACAGCTGGATGCAGGTCGTCTCCCAACTTGCATAACAATGTATATTTTTATTTTGGAGTCGTTGGAAAAATCCAGTTCAGCAAAAGGTGAATTCGACTGGTCACACAATCGAGCTTTTTTTAGGCAAGAAGCCACTTTGATCTCCCGGTTTGTCCTATAGGATTTGGTTCTTATAGACCACTAATCCTCTTGACAACTGGACGGCTGACTTTGAGCCTCCTTGTTGGTTATATCACAGAATAACATGAGATTAGTGAATAACGTTTCATGTGTGACCAAGATTCAGTCACCGCTGAGGACAAAACAGCCCGACAGTGAAATGTCAATTTATGGATTGAAAATGGAATAATAATTAGATTTATGTGACAGAGAACTGTTTTTGGAGCACATTGCTTGCTTTTTTTTTAAATTTTATAATGTGATTCAGTTTGCTCTTCTGAGCTCTGTGCCAGCAGAGTGAGTGATGCAGCAGGTCAAAAAGCAGCAGAAGTAGGAGGCGTCTGTTGGATTAAAGTGGTTGGCAGTCCTGACCAGGCTCCCTGCAGTGTGTCAAAACTGATTTGATGCTGCTTTTTCACAGGACCTGCTACCTGCTGCGCTGTAATGTTACATTAGAATTGCACAGAGGATGTTTTTTTTTTTTACTAAGTTCCACCGCACGTCAGGGCTCTCAGATACTTCAGCAGTAACAGAACAAGCGTTTTAACATCTGCTGCCTGTGATATCCATGTCACTTCTCATTACCGAGCTCCTTACCAATTAGCTGGAGAGGGCATTTGAATATGAAGCTGTCAGCATCGTTTGACATCTAGTCTGCTTCCCCTCCTCTCACCGGGGTATCAGCCATATTTGGCTAAATGATGATTTGCTGAATTAAACATGCAGTCAGCTGTGCACTGTGGCCCCTTAAGTGTCACACTTAATGTTAAATTGCCATACAGTGGGAAAAAATAAAAAAACACTCATAGAAGTCATAACAAATGGTACAACAATGAACCTACAGGAAGAATATATATAATGTGCCCCTGTAATAGTGGTAAAACATGAGTTTTTAAATTTAATTAAAAAGAAAAACAGCTTTTCTCAGCTATTAGCGATTGTCAACACAACCCATTTATGCATTTACTGGCATTGATTATAATGTTGCTTCTCTTGATTTCCGCTTTAAAATCAATTCGCTCGCACTCGGATGAATTCGGTATCTGTCCATGCAATGATAAGACACGCATACACAAGCTGCATCATCTGATAACCACACTGAGCTGCTGCCAGGCTCCCTCTCAGCAATCATGGCACCGATACACTGAAATTAAATCAATTAAAATTCAATCTTTCCCTGAAAAGTTTCTCACATTTTGTGCAACAGAAAGCTCACACACACACACACACACACACACACACACACACACACACACACACACACACACACACAAACACAGAAATGTTTTTCTTTCCATCGAGCTTTCATGTAAGTTTAGTGTTATGTTAGTCCACACACGGAAGAATAAACCTTCAGAGACAAGCACATAAGATGAATTATGTAATTTTGTATATTAATTATTCTCTCAAGCATATATGAGATTTCCATTCCCATTTGTTTGCACATTTGATTTTATTTCACTTACAATCAGCATGTACACATGTGTTCACTCCAACCTGTGAATAATGCAACCTGCTGTCTTGTGCAAGGCATAAGCAAACAGTTACATAAAGCCACTGGGGAGGATTGAATAACAATGACACAAAGGCACAATGGAGATATGTATGTAATATATAATATATATGTCATGTGTCTGCTTATGCATACACATGACAGACACACACACACACACAACTCTTGCGCAACATATGCTGCACTTTTGTTCACAGTCTCATCACTCCTCATTATGATGGTTTTTCCTTCTGTTTTGAAGGCTGTGTTTTATCATGTCTTGATGTTATTGTGCAACTTTGTGGAACAGTCACTTTGCATTTCACTGCCCACACTGTATGAGCATGTGACAAACAAACAAAAAAACTAACAAACAAAGAAAACAAACCCAAAACACTTTTATTTTCAGTCTAAAAACTTTACTTATAAAACTTAATAAAAAAAACAAAACAAAACAAAACAAAACAACAACAACAAAAAAACCCCCAGGTGTTTAAAAGCAGGATGCCAAAAAGGCAACATACCAACAATTAAGATAAAGTTTATACAAGAAGACAACTGACATAAAAAGGGAATATATTGATATTAGTCAAGTCATTAGTTTTTATGTAGCACATAAAGAAATCGTAATAGCCCTTGAGGCAAACTGCTCTCCAGTAGAGAATGAAACTAGACTGTGTCTGTAAATTTAAGTCTAAATATTATTATCAAAGCCTACAGTATAATTTATGATGTAGATTTACCCTAATATTGTGATTAACCCCTATAGTATTATATAAAATAAACATTTCTATGTGTAAATAAAATATTAAGGTGAAGATCCTACAGTATTATTTATAATGTAAATTTACTTGAGTAAGATAATTATTGTGGTATGTAGCCTATATTATTATTATTATCATTATCATTATCATTATCATTATCATTATTATTATTATTATTATTATTATTGTGCCGGTATTGCGGATTTTCTGAAATACACTGAAGAGAGTTTATGACTTTTCTGACATGTGAACATTGATCAAACTGAAATCTCACAAACATGGAACAAACAGGAGCTCACTACTTTCGATTGCATGTCGTTTTCTGGGCCTCACGTGTCATTTTCTGCATTCCTCAACTATTCGTTTGAATTAATAAGTTAAAAACAAAAAGACAAAACATTCGGTCCACATTTTCCATTTCGCCAAGAACAGCATCAGTGGTCCTGATGTTCTCCGTCTTAAACGTCCAGGCCATCCGCACATCCTCCCTGAGATATGACAATTCATTCATTCATTTAAAAATTCAACAAAGCCCGGACACAACTCTGGAAATGCGTTACTGCCGCTTCACATTTCTGCTTCCATGTTTTCTTCCTCTTTTTTTTTTTTTTAGTTTGTCTATTTGTTAAAAGAAAGAAGAAACCCCAGGCTGTACGGGCCTGCACCGGTTAATTCACTGGAGAAATGAAACGACTCTGGAATCCCCTCCTCGGCTATCCACCAGAAAAACCTTCCAGTTGATGTTCAGTCTCACTGTTTGTGGTTAAATAATGTCTTCTGACCGGCGGTGTTTGTGGATTTTGTGGTGATTTTAAAAGTCGCTGCAGCTTTCACAGCTAAAATGTGACTTTGTTTCAGGGATGGTCGGAGTTATTTGACACGAATTTACCACGAAATTATTTAGATCTGCAGAAAAATATTGCATACAAATGAGATTTTCCTCGTTTTTCTGATCGCTCTGTGGCTCCATTCTGTTGAATAAACCCAGAACGCACCACTTGGAGACATTTGCGCAGCTACACGCACCCCGCGTGCATTTTAATTAACTGTAATCACCTGTGAGGTTAATTAGACGTGGGATCAAATTGCACACATATTAAATTTAAAGGCAGCCTGAGCCCATGAGGGGCGGTCTGAGCTCTGTGGAGAGGCGCAGCAGCGAATCGTGCGGCTTTTTTCCCGATCACGTTAAAGACGACCAATGATCGGTTGATGTATTTGCAGCTTTCTGTCTGTTTAAATTTTCCCCGCAGTGGAGCAGACAAAGGCGGGCGCGCCGCGGACAAAAGATGCGTTGTGGCTGCCGTCGAAATATGAACCACCATTTTGATAGTCATAGCTGTAGACCGACATTTCCTGTCGGTACTAGAATGGCTTTAGCCCGCACGGTTTGAGTGCAGACACAGAGCGGACTGGTGCGCGCTGAGCGGAGGCAGGCTGCTGCTGCTGCTGCTGCTGCTGCTGCTGCTTCTCCATATTTGGCTGCGAGTCGATGAGAAGTGAGTCTGCAGGAGCCGCAATGGCGACAGGAGAACATGAATAAACAGAGCTGGCTCTGTGAGAAACA